ATACAATTACGTGCCAGAAACTCCGCATTGCACTGCAGCGAGCGCGACATCCGACTGTGTGCGCGCGCGCGCCGTGTGGCCGTTTCTATTAGACAAACTCATTACTTTCCAACCCCCTTCCGCACACTTTACCCTACCGTATATAACTATTGCGTGCGGCAGTTCAAACTTGAAAGTTTGCTTATATATACACGGTCAGGCTGGTGCTGCGCTGCTACCGCTGCTTTTTTCGTCCACTCATCTCTATTTTCACGCCCATGTTCCGCAAGCTCGACGTTAAAAAATAAAAAAAAAATAAAATAAAAATAAAAAAGGAAGGAAAGAAAAAAAGAAGAAGGGAGTGAATTGCACATTGTGTGTCGCACGCGAGAAAGAGAGAGAGAGAGAGAGAGAGAGAGAGAGAGCTTGGAAGCTTGCCGAAAATTCATAGTGATGAAGCGGAGAGACGCGCGGAAGCTTTAAGAGTGCGTGGCAGAGCGAGAGAGAAGGTGCGAAGCGGAACATTAATCTGGCTGACGTAAATCTAGCTTGCCACTGCTGCCGTTGCCACTTCTCGTTGGCTCCTCTGCTGCTACTGCACACGCCTTCCCGGCGCGATTAATTTTTTAATGAAACACTTTTAACTGCAAGATTTTTACAAGATTTACCTTAGTGGCTTTCGAGATAAATGGACTGGCTCTTTTGGGGCGTGTGACACGTGATGAGCCCCCGAGTAAGAGCAAAGAATATAAAATAAAAACTTTATTAATCTGATATTTTATAAAATGTTTATAAAGTTTTTAAAATTTATCGTTACTCGCTTTCGAGGTACGTACATGGAAAAATGTCAACGTTGAATTAAGATAATATATGTTTCAAGTGGTAGAAATGACGACGAACAAAATTATATTTATATCATTTGAGAAGGATATATCAATAATTATAAAAATGAATGCTTATGAATAAAAATGAATAAAAAAGAAATGCTTGCCAAAACTGACGATGGAAATCTATGAATGTTGCACGATTTCTACATAGATCGATAAGTATTCTTGCGTTAAAAATAGTACCATTGTATTATTATCATTCATTTAAAGATAGACAATCCATTAATCTGTAATAATTTAATCATTAGGCGAGATGTTTCTCTTTAATTTCGTAGGTCTAATTTCGTCGAACGGAGCTCGGAAATACAGAAACAATGTTGAAAAATTATACCGACCTAATACATACGTTCAAGTACCTTGAAAAGTTATGTAAAGCATCTGTCAACAACAAGTATCAAAACATCACACGTATATCGCTTGTGTATTGTTCGATATCATTCGTGTGTCATGTGTTTACATTCATGCTTGGACCGTTACAATTAAAACTTTTCGTATTCAAACACATCAGGAACTTAAGGTACGGAATTGATGTGCTTCCGATGGAATTAACATGTTAAAAGTAATGGAGTGTATGTGTGCATATAATATGACACACAAAACAAGCGAACTATATACCGGTCGCGAGACACTCGCTGTATTATGGTATTTAGGAATAAGCGCATGTAGGCACACACATACACACCTATCTACATCGCGCAGAAAGCGTGTATAGCTTCTCTAAGTAGGTATACATCACCCGCGGTGATATTATATTATTATTATATATATAACGGCATGACTGTGCAGAGGTGCACGTCACGCAACGAAAAAGCGATGTACACATAACGAAACACACACACGTATAGATACACAGTAGGGCGTCCGCCTAGATTACGCGGCCGGCCGACTTCAATTTCTTTTCCCGCGATCGCCCCTTACGTAAGTGCAATACACAACACGTGCGATATGCGCATCTTCTGACGGACGGACACACTTACACATTCGAGGCAAATAATAATATAATAATAAGCCGCGTATGTAACGCGAAGCCGCTTAGATCGAACATTTTTTTTCCATTTTTTCTTTATAGGCTTTGGCAATTTCGTTGTGCTGCAGGAATACACCAAGCGAGCTCGTGGTCTTTGAACACATGCTTTCGATGAGAACATTTTTCGCTATAGCCGCGATCTACGTTATCGAGGGAAAATAGTTTTCTTTTTTTATTGCAGTTTGAAAACAATCTAAGACGACCTTATACGGCTCGAGTTTTCTACATTATTATACATAATACCCAAACGAAGCTCGTGTGTGATGCGCCAAAGGTAGAAAGTATCTCTCTCTCTCTTTCATCATCCACGGACTATGTCTTCTTCTGTGTACGAAAACGGTTCGTCAGCACAAAAGTTTGATTTATCCAGCAGGGACCAATCGATCGATCACTCGTCGTCCCTTGCCGCGTGTCTCCCTTCAGGGCCAGAGAACTCGATCGACGAGTTTTCGGGGAAAAAATAAAAAAAAGAGAGTTTGGGAGTTGGCGTTGGCGCAACGCATCGCGCTGGCTCACGCGCACGAAAAGGGCGAGATCACATTTTTTTTACTACTATCAGGGTTTACGTAGTAGTTTTCTCGCGCGCTCGATCTATATAACACGGCGGTACATGGACACGCGATACTGAAACGATCGTCGGCGCGATGGGTAGTACACTCGGTATTATTATATAGCGACGCAGTGATATCGCGCGCTAAAACCGAGTTACGTATGCGATAACTATGCACGAGCGAGTACGCGTAGATATGGTTAAACTCGTCATCGCGCCGTATCATATATATTTTTTATTTTATTCTTTTATTACTATATCCGGGTTACGTGATACCTCGCGATACGAGCGATCTGCCCGCGTGCGGTCATGCGGGCCTATATATGGTTCGCTGCTGCACGCATAAAAGCTCGAAGCCGGTTATAATATATTCACTTTTTTCCACGCATCGTTCCTTCGGCTCGTCTTATCTCGGTCTCGCTACCGTCGCCATGCCACCCCCACGGGTCAATATATTCTCGCGTCGCTTTATAAGCCCGCGTTTATATCGGCCCAAGGCATGCGTGAAAAATATCACTCGCTCGCGAGAACATCTTCTAGCTGAGGTATATATAAAGCTCGTCCCAGCTGTCTAAGACGTTGGCTTGTTTCGGTGTGTATATAATAATATAAAAGACGAGTCGGTAAAAAAGTTGAGCCGTTAAGCCGCGCGCATGGACGATAGTTTTACGATCGTTCGTAACGCGTGTATATTACCTTGGCTCGACTCGACTCGAGACTTCGGACTCGTGGCCGCAGCGAAATTATAATGCATTATTATGACTGTATCCTTAACGACAAGACAAATGTCCGAGAGAGTCCTGCAGCAATTATTACCCGCGCGCGGGGCACGGCACATATATACAGGAATACGGAACGTGAGAAGATGAGCGGACGATGAGAGAAAGAGAGGAGGACGTTGAAAGTAGTGAGAGAGAGAGAGATTAGATAGACTTGACCGAGCTAGCTCTCAGATCAGAAAGTTTAGGTCACTGCAGCGGATCGCTGCTGCTGCTGCGGAGAGAAGCTGCGGACTGAAAGAGACTGTCAAACCGCTGCGCGCTTGTGGTGTAAGTACTACTATAGTCGCTCCTCCGTGTCCCGATTATGCAAATGAGCGCGACGACGTCGACTCGAAGAGTTCGCCTATAAGCCAAGAGAGCTGGGACCGGTCGAGTCCATCCTATAATGCGTCGCGCCTTGTAGCCACACTCGTGTTGCTGCTGTTCTTGTATAGCTGTGCGTTCGCATTTTATGCAGCGACGCGACGACCGACCGACCGTTCGTAGCGGTAAGCCGACGAAAAAAAAAAACAACTTAATTTTTTTCCTACGGAATTTCAAGCGTCCAGGAAGTGAAAATAAAAAGAAGCCGAGCAATAAAAATAATAACGATAACAGGCCGAGAGGAGTTCATTCGTTGGCCGGAGTTTACAGACCAAGAAAATTAGCCTCTCGCTCTTCTCTTTGCAGGGCCCTATAGTCGTCGTGAACGCGATGAAACTCATTTTTACGAGCCAATATATATACGCACACACACAGACACGGAGGTGGTCTGTGTGCCGTTTGAGCCGGCAGCGGCTCAAAAAGCCCCTTTTTCCCCGGCCCGGAACGGTGACTTGTTCCTCAAAGGCTCCGGGAGTAAAACGCGAATTTACAAGTTCGATAGGGCCGATTGAATGCGCACGTGAACTCCCAGTCGATATGCGTGTGGGTGCATATCTATATAGAGCGGCGAGCCTTTCATGTTCATATAGACGGTGACTTCTTTATTGATTTTCTACTTCGAGCTTTTTCATGTATATGGCCGGTTCTGCGTCGATGCCAAAACTTTTCGATTGAGAAAATAAAACTTCGAGCGATATTTAAAAATGTATGGGAAACGCCCGAAAAAAGCTCTTTTCTCTCGACGATTATAATATACACGCTACTCGAGCTTTTGATCTGACATTTTCTGTGCGTTTTCGGTTAAAATGGCTTCTACGCCTCTTAAACTCGTCGAACCATTATAAAAATTTTAAAGATATAATACCTCTTAGTCCGGATTAAATTTGTAATGCGGTTACATTTTCGACCTTTATGTTTCTCTCTATAATCCGCAAGCTCCCAGAGAGCTCAGCTTTTTATAATAATGGAAATAACCACTCGCAGTCCTTAATTAAAAGAAATACCAAAAGTTTCCGAAAATGTTAATAAAATTAATCTTATATATTTCTCGCAAAAACTCGTGGATCGTTCGATTTTTCGGAGAATCGGTCATATACAATAATACACGAATTCACTCCCGTATTCTCGAGTCTTTTCAAGCGCGGGGCAGCTTTTTTTTCATAATACTTTTTCATTACTTATCTAACACATTCGATCGCGCGGCTGATTGAGCTAAAAATCGCTTTCATTCGAATCGACGTTGTTGAATTCCGCGCGAGCTAAATATATATTCGCTCTTGAATTATTCATGCATAAAATATCATATATACCGCGTAACGCCGAGAATTACTTTTATGCAACCCACGACTAGAAGCTTACAATAATAACGCGTCTATTGTGAGACGACGACGACGACGATATGGCGTACTTACCGAGTATCGTGCCCGTGTAGGAATGGCTCGTGTCGAAATCGATGGGACCGCTGGAACCCTCGAAAACGGCGTCGTCGGTAAATAATCCGGAGTCGCGCACCAAGCGCATCGTCCATTGCCTGCGAACAGAAAGTTAAACGAGTGGTTTTTATTACTGCCTGTTAGAGTTGAAAGAGTTATGTGTGTGTGCGTGTGTGTGTGGATTTTGCAACGCGCGTCAAAACTTTTCCTCGCTCGCGCTTGTACGTATCCTAACGAATTGGCCCGCGCTCTTTTGTCCAGACACTACGACCATGTGTGGGAGGGGTGGATAAAAAAAAAATAAAAAAAATAAATGTTTTCGCTGTGAATTATTGAGCTTGCGATGTATACGATTCAGAAGGCGAGAGCCGTACGAAGCGCAATCGCTCGCGCGCTAAAAATCATCCGAGGTCGGATTAATCGACGAGCCCCCGAACCTATAATACCGAAACTGTATATAATACATAATGTGTAAGCTTAATCCGTTGTACACAACAAACAAAGTGTAAAGAAAAAAAATTCCCCTTGCATTAATCTTAAAATCTGATAAGGCTAATCTTTGAGAGAGCTAATCTGAAGTAAGCTTTGCATGCACGCACGTGTGCGCGCGGGCGGACACAGCTCGCGAAAAGCTCTCGTATATACTAAGCGTTCGCTAAAAGAAACATTGAAAAAAAAGGTAGGGAAATTAAAAAGCAACCTTTAAAATTGATACATAATTCAAGGATAATAGAATAAACCGGCTTATCCGGCTTGTGTTACCCTTCGTATCGATGAAATAAATATAAAAGTTCTTTAGTACTTTTATACAGTTACAGCGCTTGTTAGAATAAGAATTATCTTTTAAAAAGTAATCATTTTCATGATTTCAAAAAGCAGTACATAACAGGATTCATGCAGTGAAACGTGTCTTCCTGACTTATACAATTATTCTGACTTCGCCACTAGCAGATTTACATATTTAAATGTATTCGCCATCTAGTGATGAAGACTGAAAATAGTATTGACTTATTCACAACGTTTATAAAATAGTCTACATTTTTCACAAAAGTAAAATTGAGCTTTTTCGTTATTAAACCATTATTAATGTTAACTAACAACTAAAATCACTAAGTTGATAACCAATGTTCGAGTTGATAATATTCAAATACAAGTTCTCACCTTTTACTTTTTTTTCATCGGTGGTTTCATCCATATTGTACGTAACATTGGCCACTACTACATACACTATGGATAGCGAAGTCAAAGGTCGCGACTTTGCTCGGATTATGTATAGGACTCGGCGTAAATCCGTGACGGACTGCGCGTTTGAGTAACTCGGACGATCTCCGCTCCAAGAGAGAGAGAGAGAGAGAGAGAGAGAGAGAGAGAGATAGAGGATAAAGCTTCGGGTTGCACAATCTGCAAATCGCATACGATATAATACACGTATAGTTCGATCCAGCTGTATATATATCCCTGGCTCGACGGACGACACACAATAATATAAGCGGAGTTGCCGCTGCTGCTGTGCCGCGGGGCGCGATCAACGACGACGCGTACGTAAGGTTCCGCAAGCTCGAGCATTGCGCTTCTAGCTGCTTTTGCTTGCACATGTGCTAACGTACCAAGTATACAACTGCTCGGTCAGGGTTAGGTCTTGTAGTATAGATAATTGTACACACACACACATGCTGCTGGCGTCGCATTATCGAATAAGAGAATATCCGACGTGCTCTGACCGTGGTCGAAGCTAGGCTACTCTCTCTTTCTCTCTCGTGTGGCTATTTGTGCAGCCAGCGGCAGCAAACGTTATATATATAGTATATATAAAAACATCTGATCGCGCCTATCCAAGTTGAAGTTCAATAGAGCTCGAGCTTCTCCGGCGTTTCTAATACGCGTGTGAATGAAGAAGCCCCGGCCGCTCGTGAGTATATTCATTATGTGTGTGTGTATGTACATCGACTCATGCCGATGCGGCTTCACGACGAGCATTACTCGGCACTGCTGCATCGTATACAAACTCGCTGCAAGTTCATATTTATATCATACGTATATTTATACTATGTATAGGTGTTTACAGGCAGGCGTTGTGTATTTATATACGTACACGGAGCCTTCTATGCGCCCGTATAGCGTAGTCCGTTGATTTAAAATGCGTGATCGAAGCTATTGCATAATAGCTATTGTATTTTGTTTCCTCGTCGAGAAAGCTCAGCTGTGATTAAACCACGTGTCGTAAATTAATTTTGTTAACATGTTTGTTAACTAGTTTGAATTTTCGCCAAAATTCTGTGTGTTTGTGGGCTATGTTTACAGTCTTTACAGATCATTAAAACGATTATGTAATACACAAATGTAATTGTATAATCGTACACCGTTGTAACTTATCGATTTTATGGATTTTGTAGATTTATAATTGTATTAGAAATAATAATTCGTGTTTCCAACAACAGATTCAGCGTTCTCGCCAACGAATTTCGAGTCCGATAAATTTCCGAGTTAAAATTAATTATTTTGAAATAGGACGATGTCTTATTTTACTATCATTTATTAATAAAAATTGAAATCATCGAATTATCGGTAGGAATCTTTTCGCCAATGTATCGATATCGGTTGTTTTTTTATTACAACCTTATAATGCACTCGGTCGGTCTTCATAAAGTTACGAGCTACGTTCGGCGTACTGCGCCGTACACGAGATGTACATCGCAATTCTCTGCGCGCGCGTTCATTTTCACGCCTCATTGCTCCCGCGCGTTCATAAGGATCGATCTTATAGCTGCAGCTTACAAGCTATTCGTTCGTTTCTTTTTGTTACACGGCATCTCTGAACGGGCTGCACCGCGCGCTATAATCAGGACGATTCGCGCAACCTTGGTCGCGCGCGGCCGCGAGTTTTCTTCGAGAAATTATACGCAGCGTAGTATCGGCTGCTTTTCCAACGCGCTTGGGTACTTACAACAGGTATGGGTATAGGTATAAGGTACCCATGATGCGAACGCAGCTGAGTGCGGAATCGGCTGGATCGATGCGATCCGCAATATCTGTCTATACAGGTATGTATCGGTGCGAGTCTCTCTTTCTCTTTCTCTTTATATTGCACGACAACTCGACGCTCTCGCGCTAATCCCGTTACGAGAGGCCGCGCGTTAGAGAGCGGCACAGGTAAGCGTGTACAGCAGTATATATCTATAAAGGTAGCGCGACTTTTCAATGTCACGCGGCCGCGCACGGTATTATATATGAGCAATTCTCCAAATGAAACGCATTTTTTGAGGTAGAATCGCGACAAATTTTTTTTTCAACCTACGTGGATACGGACCCCCGGGAAATGTTTTTGGGGGTCCTAGGAACATGTAACCACGTAGGAACCATTGAAATTTCAATAGTGCTTATTTTTATAGCTACTTTTGTGATTTAGAGGACGAAAAATCATGTTTTCTCGTAAATGCGGCTAATTACTCAATTTCTAAGTCGCTGAAAAAGTATCAAAACTCATCTAAAAAAAATAACTGGCTACTGTGTTCGATAGGAAATTTTCTCAGCTTTCCAATGGTGGTATCAGATTTTCCGATAAGTCGCACATTCACCGAGAAAATCGCCATCAAACATGCCAAGCTAAATATCTCGAAAAACTCGGTACGGAAAAAGTGATCTTTGAGGTTTAATTTCGATTTTTCCTCGTGAAAATGAAATTTATCGAAAAATCTGACTACACCATGAGAAAGCTGAGGAAATTTCCTATCGAAAGCATATCTTTATTTATTTTTTCGGTGGAATTACGAGCTAGTTTTGATTGTAGCGAGCCGAAAACCTCGCGACCGCGCTGAATCAGCTCGGAAACAGAAAACAGCGAACAACGTAAAAGAAATTCCCATGTATAACATTGTAATTCGACTCAAAAAATAAATGAAGATATGCTTTCGATAGAAAATTTCCTCAGCTTTCTCATGGTGCAGTCAGATTTTCCGATAAATTTCATTTTCACGAGGAAAAATCGAAATTAAACCTCAAAGATCACTTTTTCCTTACCGAGTTTTTCGAGATATTTAGCTTGGCACTTTTGATGGCGATTTTCTCGGCGAATGTGCGACTTATCGGAATATCTGATACCACCAGTGGAAAGCTGAGAAAATTTCCTATCGAACACAGTAGCCAGTTATTTTTTTTAGATGAGTTTTGATACTTTTTCAGCGACTTAGAAATTGAGTAATTAGCCGCATTTACGAGAAAACATGATTTTTCGTCCTCTAAATCACAAAAGTAGCTATAAAAATAAGCACTATTGAAATTTCAATGGTTCCTACGTGGTTACATGTTCCTAGGACCCCCAAAAACATTTCCCGGGGGTCCGTATCCGCGTAGGTTGAAAAAAAAATTTGTCGCGATTCTACCTCAAAAAATGCGTTTCATTTGGAGAATTGCTCATATATACACGCGGTCGCTCTCTGCTGCGGTTTTCTCCTCCTTCTTTTTTATATACCTATATATAGCTCCTAATAATCAGCTGTGCGGTAGCTCGAAAAAGATGCCAAGATCGTTGACACACAAATATCATCCAAGCACGCGCGGTCGATTCAGAAAAAAAAAGATTCTCGTCGAGTCCTCCTCCTCTCGCTATCGTGCAGTGTATCTATTTATTCTGTAGCTCGCACACACAGTTGAAATATCGATTATTATCATATTTAAAACAATCGAAACACACTCGCTCGAGCGAGAGAGCAATACGCATTGTTTGCGGTATGAAATTTGCAAAGAGGAACAGAAAATGTATACCGTAGCTCTCGAAAAATCGTTTCCTCCCCCGATGTATCAAATTTTATGTACAAATGACTGTTGCGCGTGCAGCGCAGCCTCGAGATCTAAATATTTAGCTTATTTGTATAGGCTTGATGATGCAGGGGAAAAGTGTACATAGCATAAAAGCATAGCACGCGCGCGCGTCGACAATGAATACAGAAGCAGTAGCAGGAAAGATGATAAAACTGGAAATGAACCAAAGCGCGCACGGGGGTTTATGTTTTATGTGACCTAATTAGCTCGTGCGCAAACACTGTATATAATACCTGGGCGCATATACACACGTACATACAACTCGCACAGCTGGATCGAATGAAGAATAATATTTTATGCGTAAATTATAAAGTTTTAATTAATATAGAGAGAGAGAGAGAGAGAGAGAGAGAGAGAGAGAGAGAGCCCGCAGACAAAGTACAGATGCGTATAATAATACGTGTGCTAGGAGGGTCGGATGTATAAAGAGAGGCGAAGAATAGACGCCGAAAGAAGAGGACTGCGTCATTTATTATCCTGTGAATTATTCTAGCTCTCGTTTCGCGAATGTGTATTCGCGTGTGCGCAGAATAGAAATAGCTACGACAGCCTCGACGCGCGAGTTCGTATGGCATTATACTAATGCACATATCGCAGTAAGACGCGCTTTCGTTATTTGGCGAATACACAGCGCAACGTGGCTCGTGTATGCATACACGTGGTTCGTTCAAAAACAAACAGATACGCAATTATAATATGATTGTTGGATTATACACATAGTCGTTCGCGATTCTTTTTTCGTTCCTCGAGCGTATGAAATTAAGCACTTATCGTACGTATCGTCTAATAAAAAAAAATAACGATGAGCATAGTTATGCGCGCGACACCTTTACGAGCTATCTACACTAGATGTTGGTAGCTTTGAAATTAGCTGTAGAACGAGCAGGAAATTTTAAATTGGAATTAATTTTTGCTAAATTTTGTTTCATTTCCCCAGTGTAGCTCGAGTGCACAAGACTCCTGGGTGATCTGCTCTTATTACATAAAATACTAGTTGAACATTAGATTTCTCAGAGAACCGGCTGCATACATTTATGGGAAAATTGTTTCAATTCTAGTTCATGTAAGCCATGTGAGTAGAAGATTTTTTTATAAATAGAACAAAATTAATAACGTTTTAAATAATTTATTTTTATTCAAAATTGAAATATTTCAGTGCATGATTTTTTTAAATTACGTATTTTATATTACATATTGCTAAGTCTCCATTATGTACAAATGTCTACGAAGAAATCTCAACTTTCTCGGTCACCACTTTATCATGTACCTTCGTGATGTACGGTGTGCCGTTATTACCGTGTACTGCAAGTATGTGACTTCTAAGGTGACCTCTCCAGCCAAATGATTTGTGACAGATATCGCACTCGTAGGCTTTGGTATGATTATGTACTACACTTATGTGCGATTTCAGGTCACTTAAATAAGCATATGACTTGGGACAAATCTCACATTTATGTTGTTTGTCGCCATTGTGTACTATTTTTATGTGAGATTGGAGTCGATAATTTTTTCCAAATGATTTGTGACAAGTCTCACATTTGAATGGTTTGATTCGATCGTGTACTATATTTATGTGATCTGTGAGTTTACTCTTCCTTGATAATGACTTGTTACACAATTCACACTTGAAGGGTTTGATACCTTTATGTGTCTTCATGTGATCATCGAGTCGACTCTTGAGCCAGAATGATTCATGACAAGTCTCACATTGAAATAGTTTGATTTGATTATGTACTGCATTCATGTGTACTTTGAGGTGATCCTTGCGATTGTATGATTTATGACAAATCTCACACTCGAAAGATTCGATTACTCCTTCATGTACTCGCTTCATATGCGTTTTCAGTAGATTTGGGTACCCAAATGATTCGTGACAAATTTCACATTCGTGGGGTTTTCTTCGATTATGCACGGCATCCACGTGAATTTTGAGGTGACCTTTTTGTGCAAACGACTTGTCACAAAAATCGCACTGAAAAATTTGACTACGATCATGTACTGCGTTTTTATGAAGAAATAAGCTTCGCCGGTAGGCATATGATTTGTGACAAATTTCACATTCGAAGGATTTGATTTTATCATGTACTGTATTTGTGTGACTCTTGAGGTCACTCGGGTATCCAAATGATTTGTGACAAATCTCACATTCAAAGGGTTTGCTACGTCCATGTACTCCATTTATATGTTTCTTGAAATCACTCGCGTATCCAAATGATTTGTGACAAATTTCACATTCGAAGGCTTTCATACGTTTATGTACTACCCTTATATGGTCTTTGAGATGACTTTCTTGTCCATACGTTTTGTGGCAAATGTCACATTTGAAGGGTTCTTTCTGTTTATGTATTGACATCATGTGCCTTCCAAGTGTATACTGATCTCCAAATGCCTTATTACACATCTCACACTTAAAGGGTTTGATGTGTGCTGCGTTAACATGAAATTTTAGCTGACTTTGGAATTTAAATGATTTATGACAAATTTCACATTTACATGGTTTGATGCTCTTATCTTTTCCTTTAACATTTTTTTGACACAAATTACGTTTTTGAAGTAATTTAGTTTGAATAGTTTTTTCCAATATTTTTGCCTCCTTGGTTTCGTTAATTTTAAATTCTTGAAACTGGCAATTTTTTTCATAATTGAATCCTTTTTTAATTGAAATAATCAGCTTTTTATTGTTTAAGTAATTAGACTGATCTTCGTTTCCTGTTGTCGCAATAGATGGGTTACATTGATTATTAGTTTCAATGTTGCAGTTTTCCTCTTTTATAGAGTCCAGATCAGGTTCAACAACTTCAAAATCTCTTTCGTCTGTGGGCTCTTTCTTTTGATTTTTCTAAAATTAAAATTGTGTTGTTAATAGTGAAAAAGATAACATAATATAAATTATTCAACTTACTGATAATTTATCATATGATTCAAAGCTTCTAGATTCATAAGTTTCAGTTGAGAAGAAATTATAATCATCACCTACATTTTGCTCCTCCTTCACGCTGAAGAATAATCAAGTTTAATTAAGAAATCAAATCAAAAAAGTTCTTATAATCCCTGATAGAAAATTGATCAGCTCAACAGAATGATATGGCCAGAACTAATTATTACAACTGGGCAATTGTTGCTCATTTTATTAGCCATTAAACTAGTCATAAACTGGCTAGTATACATTATATCAAAACAAAATTAAATATTTAAGGTTTATACTTACAACTAAGAATTTTGTTGTGATATAAATTTTATAATAATACTTTCAATACAATTTTTCAAACATTAAACGGGGTTTTGTAGAGAAATTTTATGTTATTTTTTCACATTAGTAGGATTTGAATTTATGAATTTTTGAAAAATATTTCAGATTTCTCCCAAAAGTTTAAAAATAGATTTTTTGTATCATCCGATGAGACCAATTATGGAATATGTTCTTGCAAGGGCCAAAATCTAACTTTTTAGCAAAAAGATTTTTTAACAGACAGGTTTTGGTAGCACTCAAAGGATGTAAAAACGTATTTCTCTTGTTCAAATAAATTCTTATAATTTGGCTACATACAAATACTATCAAAATGTTACTAACAATCAATAAATTGATTTATTTGGGTGAGACGTCATTATACAGCTGAGGTCAGACAGTACTGCTTAACAGTTTTCAAGTGATTCAAATGACTAATAACTTTATTAAAATTGAGCAGTTGTTGACCAGATTAATGGCTAGTAATATTATATCGTTTTTAGTACACACGATTTATGGCAAAGTTGGACGATAGCTGCCTAATAAATTGACTAATAAGACTCAAGTTAAGAATAAACTAGTCAGGATGTGCTGATGCTTTCTACCAGGGATGCACAGAAAAATATATACCTGATATTGTTCTGGTGGTTTTCCATTGCTCGTTATTTTATATGTTCACTGCGAGTTTTCTCTGATATGCACCGAGGAAATATTCACAGTTATATGTCATGTATAGACAACTCTATATTCCTTGATTGAACCAACTTTTACGGGTATAATTTTTCAACGCTTGTTTACTGCAAGAATTACTTTTTGCTAGCGACTTGTGAACACTATTTTATCGTAAAATTACGACTTTACACAATGATAGTCAGCACAACACGACACACGTGTACACGTTACGGATTACGGTGTAGTAAATATATGCTGAGCTCACTGCCGAGCGGCAAGCAGAGCACATGTAGTTGCAGAACGTTCAGCGCACTAGCCTCAGTAACACGTATGGTCAGGTGGCGCTAGTGCAATCGACTTCGTGCAGTGCACGACTAGCAGTCTGTTTGTTTACATAAATAGGTCGCGACAAGCTGTCATTTATTAATAATCTTAATAATTATTTTAATAATTATAATAATTATGCTTTTAAAGATTATAATAAATTTTTTAACATTTTTTAACTTACATCATTTCAAATTAAGGGCTCAAAGTTAGGTTAAATTGATTTAAATCCTACATTTTTAGCATTAGACTGTCAAAAGGAGATATTTATTGAAAAAAGAATATAACAACCTTTATCAGTACACAAGTAATAAGTGCTTTACCCAATTCAATAACTAAAAAATTGAGTTTTCATTGTTATGATATCAAAGACCTTAAGCGATAAGTATTTGATTTATTTTAGCTTCTTGTCATAAGATACTAAGCCAACATATGAATCAATTCGAGTTAATATATAAACATAAAATTTGCTTTTGATAGCTCTATTAAAACAAATTCAGTCTTTGAAAGCAAATCTTATGTTGAAGTGTTTTGTTGGGGTGATTTGTACACAATCATTCCAATAAAATTACCAATTTAGCCTTTGAATGCTAAACTGGCATTAATAGACCATTTCAAAGCAAGTCTTTTGCCGATATATTTTTTGGGCTTATATATGCACAGATAATTCAATAAAACTTCCAATCTGGCTTTTGATAAATAAAATTGCATTATTAAAGTATTCAAGATCAAGTTTTATATTGACGTATTAACTGAATCGAGTCATATAATTTATTTCCAATGGGAGATTTTATTTTTCAAAAAAACTATACTTTTATTTGTACAGCCTAACGCTTGTAAATGTGAGATTTGAATAAATTTAACCCAGCTATAAGTCCTCAAAAGAAATGAAATCAATTATTTTTCTTTGAAATTATTTACAATGTAGATTGTTGTTTCTTAATCAAGAGGTGCGGTAGCACCTAGCCGGCAAAGTATAAAAAAAATTATAAAAAAATAATTTTTAAAAAAAAATTTATTTAAAAAGAAAAAATTAGTTAGAATTTGACAAAAAAAAATTTAGAAAAAAAAAATTTTTGAAAAAAACATTTTTGAAAAAAAAATTTTTTCAAAAAAAATTTTTGGGAAAAATTTTGAAAAAAGAAAAATTTTGAAAAAAAAAATTTTGAAAAAAAAATTTTGATATTCAAAAAACAATTTTCAAAAAATTGAAAAAACAATTTTCAAAAATTTTCAAAAAAAATGTTTGCGCAAAAAATTATTTATTTATACAAAAAAAATTATTTTATGTGTTAATTCATTGAAATTAGCCTTAATTAGCTGAGAATTGTCGGCTGGGTGCAGCGCACCTATACATACACCGAAAACGCCAAATCAAAAAAAGCTAGTTCGAGATGGGGTACTTCCCGTACTCAGAGAGATATAAGATAGGTATCATTCGATAGGGGATCCAAAATCATGAACCCATGCAAATTTTTGGATGATTTGGTGCATTGGTTCAAAAAATTGGACCATCCAAAGTTTTTTTACCGTCAAATCACGTTTTTTCTAAATTTTTTGTCAAACATGAGTCAGCCACGAGATCTCGGGAAATACTTAACCGATCGAAATTCTGACGCGAGATTTCGAAAGGTATACAGCTCTACTACAATAGTTCACTATCAGAATTTCCGATTTCCCGGAAAATTCGTCTTGT